CTGAATGCTGCGCCCTCTCTGGCACTGGGGTCCCCACACTACCGTGGAGCCCCTGTGAAGCCTCCTCCAACCCCTATTAGCCTCACCCAGTCCTCTGGTCTTATATAAAACTACAAACAGAAAACTCAAGCCCCTGGGCTACAATGTAAACTCTAAGCCGTCTGGCTAACCATCATTCAAATCCCTACCAGGGCTTTCTCCACCCAGTATCCTTGAACAGAAGCTGCTCAGGCCATCAGGCTTTCCTACTCTGCTTACTCCAGTAGAGCTCCTTCTTTCTTAGCTGCAAGTGGGGAACTGCCTCTCTGGCCTCAGCCTGGATTATATATATAGGTCAGGCCCTGCCCCCTTCTGGTCAGCTGACCAACTGCGGTTGCCCTGACAACCGGCACCTGTACCCCTTTATAGGAGCAGGGCACTGAAGTGCCCTGTGACACACCTCCCCCCTTAAGGTCAAGACTCACTAGGAGCAGGGTACTGAAGTGCCCTGCAACAATGATAAAGCAATTAACGTTTTAATTTAACTCTATGCAGAATGAATGTTGTATATCAGTTCCAGTAATGCAGCTTCTTACGTACACGAGTAGTCCCACTAAATCAATAGGACCGCCAGTGAACCTTTGCTCATAAAGCAGCTTTTACACTTTAAGGCCCTATTCCTTATGAATATAAGCAGCTATGCACATGTAAGTATTCTTGTGCATTAGTGAAGCTTTTTCATTAACTGCAGTGGGCTTTGGCTCTGCTCCTAACACTAGAATGAAAATGATTACAGTTTAGTTATTTTTATCTTGAGCATGGGAAAATAAATTGAAATGGAAATCCTTGAAGACTAATTTTAAACATCACTTTACATCTTATAGGCTGCTGCAAAAGATGCACCAAAGTTTGTGCTGTTGTTTGGTATAATTTTAAAAACCTTTGATTGACAAACAAAACCCCAGCATCTCATTTCTCTCTATATATGTCAAGAACTGGCCAGCAGTGATTTGAAATAGCTCAGATATTAAATTTTTTAAATCAGGAAAGCCACCTAAACTTTAATTCCCTTAAGTCGTTACACATACGGGAAGGGCAGAAATACACCGATGGGTTGTACAGTACAGTAGTGCAGGTCAGACTAACTTGGGTGGGATGAGTCAGAAAGAAATGATCCTGCCTTGAGCAGGGAGTTGGTTGGACTACCAGTAGATGAGCTCCTGAGGTTTCTTTTAACCCTGTTTTTCTATGAATCTGTGATTAGCTCCTCTACAAGCTTCCATAAAATCCATTCCCTCAGTCATGAAGTGATTCCCCATGAATGGGGAGAATTAGTTAAGTCACCTCCAAACACGATGGCTATTTGAGCAGATAGACCTCAGGAGTCAATGTTTCTTCAAGCTGCTATCCTTCTGCTTCTTCTAAATGTCTGTTTGGTTGAACTTTCAAATGATGTTAGAGGTTGCAATAGAAATCATAGAATAAAAGTGTTACCAAAAATAATGTAATCTTCTTCAAGCCTTATTCTGACATCTTTTTCCTGAAAGCTGCTGTATGATTCCTATTTATACAAAGAAACTTACATTTTCAAACATCCAAAAATAAAGCATATTTTCTTTGTTTAGAGATAATTTTATGAGTTTGTCCCTTATATGATAAGCTGAAATATATATTGCTAAATAGGTTAAATCATACTGGTTTTATTCTCTTTTCAGTGCAACTTTTGTAAAAGACCTTGAAAATTTTTGGGCTGGAGTAGAGAGCAAAACTCTTTCTCCAAGGAATTCAGAGTCCCGGAATGTCACAGCAAGAAGTAAAAAGAAGGTATTTTTTAAGCATATCGTGTTCTGAATATTAGACATGAATGTGGTAAGTTAAATTATAATGTGAGACTAGTCCCCGTCTGAGGTCTTTTGGTTAGACACGTCAACTGAGCCAGATGAAATCAATGAATGTTTTGGAAAATTTTACCTTATCTACTCAATCCTCACAATAATTGGAGGAATTTTGTATGATAAATACTAATATCCCATCCGACAGATGAGAAAAATGAGATTCAGAGGGTCTAATCATCCTAACCAATGCACAGGATATGAGGTATAGTAGAGAGAGCAAATTTCAGTTAGGTGATCAAAGAGGCATAAAGCACATATAATCTTTGTCCTCTACTGCTACCCAGCCCATCAGGCTCAAGTGATGTTTTCAGGAATTAATATATTAGTACTAGCCAATTGCCTGTCAAGAATGACGGGGGAAGGGGGGACGCCCCATGCTGCTGCTGTTCTGCCTCTTGCAGGGAGCCTCCCCCAACCTCCTGGTCCCCAGCACAGCTTCGGAATCATGGTGGTGCTTCCCCACACTTGGAGCACTCTGATTGGCTGAATAAAGCGCTATGGACAGACAGACAGACTTATGCTTTTATAGTATCAGAATGATGGAAATAATAGGTATCATCTTTTGTTTTCAAAGAGCTCCTCTTATTAAATTTGGCCATAGTACAGGTAGGTAAAATGAAAAAAGAAAAAAAAAGAGGACTGATATTGTAAATCAGTGTTGCTCCATTGAATTCAATGGAGCTATACTACTTTGCATCAAATAATGATCTAACCAAGAATTAACATCTTTCTCTGGTCCCTTGCTTCACCAGATAAATGTGGGTTACTTCCTAAAAAATGATAGTGTTGAAATATAATCTTTAAGAAGACAATAACTAGTTTCTTCTTTTTCATAGTCCGCAAACACTGTGATAGTGGCATGTAAACAGGTGAGAACTATTTTTCTGCAATTTCCTAAAGTGTCTTTTAGTGTCTGAAATTTTTTTTAAAAACTGTACTTGATTTATTATTTTTGCTGTGGAAACATTTCAAGTAAAATCACACCCTGAATATAAATGGTATGGGTATTTTTATCAATGTTGTTTGGTTTTTAATGTAGACTGCCCCAGTTGTCCCATCATCTCAAGTTTTTAGAATCATCCTTTCCCTTAACTCCTCATAAACTGTAGTCCAGTCATTCTGAAGCCACAGTCAGGCTTTAATTTAAACTCCTTCACTAGAAAGATGTCATGCCCTCAGCTTTGTGCTCAAAATTGAGTATATCAGGATTGAGATACCGTATAAGCTCTTCAATCAGATCATTATTAAGCACGAAGTGTTGGAACAGGCACAAACTGGTTTGGTGTTTCCACAAGTCATTTAACTCTATTTCTTTCTAACAGACTGGAGGGACTTACTCAAGCAGTGGTAAATGTATTCAGGTAAGCATACTTCCTCTAGAGCTCATTGATTCATTGCTTCCTATTCACAAACGTCAAAAAATAATTCACAATTTTAAGTGTTATATCAAAAACATCCTGTATTGCGTGCTTTACCCAAATTATTGCTCAGTTTATTCCTTTTACTTAGTATTTACCTTGAAGTAAACAAAATTCATAAACTTCTTGGCTGGCTATTTGTCCTTGCTGTTGGTATACAACAGAGGTGTTTCCTGTGTTAGGTTAGGTAACTTAGACTAACTTTCTGCTGTTAACTTACTTTCTCTGCATTCATTTTCCAACCATAATGATTCCTTCACTACTTTTAGTTCAACCAGGATCACTTTTCTAAAATACTCTGAATTCTTCCTTATATAGTATATCCCTATATAGTAGTATACAGTGAAGTCTATATAAAACTAAAGAAAATATTTGAATTTTATTAAGA